GGTGTCATTCCTTTTTATCTCCTGGGTTAGTCACAGTGATAGAAAATCACTCATGTGGGCTGGGAAGGTGGCTCAGTGGTAGAGCGCTTGCCTTGCATGCCTGAGGCCCTCAGCACCACATAAGCAAAAACAAAAAAGCCGGAAGTGGCGCTGTGGCTCAAGTGGTAGAGAGCTAGCCTTGAGCTGAAGAGCTGAGGGACAGCTCCCAGGCCCAGAGTACAGGCCCCACGACCAGACCCAAAAAACAAAATAAAACAACAAGAATGCCAGGATCTGCTGGGCACTGGTGTCTTGCACCTGCAATTCTACCTACTCATGAGGCAGAGATCTGAGGATTGTGGTTAGAAGCCGGCCTAGGCAGAAAAGTCCATGAGACTCTTATCTCCAATTAAAAAAAAAAAAAAGAAAATCACTCATGTCCTTTCAAATAATGAAATTAGTCAGGTTTAATCCTTCCTTTTCCCCCTAGGTAAAAGCATTCTTACTCTGTAAAGTGTTCTATGTTCTTTAAGCTTTGTTCAAAAAATATAAGCATATTGAAATTATTATGAATTTTTAGGGGTCCACAAAACATAATGTGAGGTAGTCAACAGTGTGACTTGCACTTTGCCCTGCTGCAACCTTCCTAGCTAGTGGCATGCTTAGGTAGCCCTGCAGATACCTGCAAAGCCACAACAAAATTCCATGGTTCTCATGGTCTCACAGCCACATGTGAAAAAGCAAGCTAGGCTGTCCTCTCCAAAAGAAGCTCAGCTATCTTCCACAGTAGAATTTCTTGGCAAGGCAGAACTTTTCTGGGAACATGGTTCCCCACAAGGAGCAAAGTGATATCTGGAGATTAATATTGAAAACTGTGTTTGGCCTAGGTATACTCAGGAATCTGCTGTAGCTCCTCATCTTCAAGTCGCCCTTCTAGGCTTGGAATCAGAGGTTTGAACTCTTAAGCCAAACAGGCCAACTCAAACTTACGTAGCTTTTTCTGGAAAAGCAAGCTATGGATACTAGCAATGTTGTCTCTGTTTTTTAAATGACTGAAATGAGCTGTACAGTTTAAAGCTTTCATGATGACCTCTGAGAGTTCCTGCTCATCCTCTGCAATCTCTTGCTGTTGCTTGCTTTCTTTTTTGCCAGTCCTGGGGCTTGAACTCAGGGCCTGGGCACTGTCCCTGAGCTTCTTTTGCTCAAGACTTGAGCCACAGCTGCAGCTTTTTCTGTTTATGTGGTACTGAGAAGTCGAACCCAGGGCTTCATGCATGCTAGGCAAGCACTCTACCACTAAACCACATTCCCAGCCCCTCTTTCTGTTGCTTTTGATGCTCCAGAAGTATATGAACTAATTCAGAAGTGTCTCAGCTGTTTCAAACTCTTTGGGGAATATGAGATGTGTGGCATCCTTTTCTACATTACCCTCACGAGGATCATTGCCACTGGCCACCATCTCTCCACTGAGAGCCACAATAGAAACCTCGGGAAGAGGCTGGGTTTTTAAATTCTAATTTAGTTTCAATTAATCCCTATGTAATCCTAGCTTCTCTGGAGGTGAAATTGGGCTTGAGATCAGCAAGAACTCACATCTTAACATGTAAGTCTGTATGTGTGTGTGTGTGTGTGTGTGTGTGTGTGTGTGTGTGTGTGTACCTCTAGTCCCAGTAATTCTGGAGAATATAGATAAAAGGATGGTGGTCTGAGGCCAGATCCAAACAAAAATACAAAACCCTACCCTAAAAAAAGGAAGGAAGAAGGAAGGAAGGACAGGAGGGATGGAGAGAGGAAGGGAGGGAATGAAGCATTGGAAGGAGGGAAAGAGAAAAAGAAAAAGAAAAGAAAGAAAGAAAGGAAGGAAGGAAGGAAAGAAGAAACCATAACTAAGTCAAAAAGGAAAGCTAGGGACACAGCTCTAATGGCACACTACCTCCTAACAAGCTTGAGTCCCTGAATTCAAATCCTAGTGTTGCCAAAAACTAAAATTTAATTTAGATTTTTAAATCTGATTATCAAGAAAGAAAAACTAGAAGAGAGGAAGTGAGGGAAGGGGTGACATTGTCCAAAAAGAAAAGTCCTCTTAGCTGGGCACCAGCAGCTCAAGCCTGTAATCCTAACTACTCAGGAGGCTGAGATCTGAGGATCACAGTTCAAAACCAGCCCAGGCAGGAAAGTCCGTGAAACTCTTTTTTTTTTTTAATTGTGAAAATACTGTACAGAGGGGTTACAATTACATGGGCAAGGTAATGAGTACATTTCTTATCAAGCATTGTTGCCTCCTCCTCTGTTTCCCCTTCTCATCCCTTCCCATCTTCCCCTCCGCCCCTTCCCCCCCCCCCCCAAACTCTTATCTTCGATAAACTATCAGAAGACTGGAAGTGGTGCTGTTGCTCAAGTGGTAGAGTGCTAGCCTTGAGCTGAAGAGCTGAGGAACAGCGCTCAGGCCCCCAGTTCAAGCCCCACAACCGACCAAAAAAAAAAAAAAAAAAGAAAGAAAGAAAAAAAGAAAAGTCCTCTTTAGGGGCTGGGAAGGTGGCTCAGTAGTAGAGTGTTTGCCTTGCATACATGAGGCCCTGGGTTCGATTCCTCAGCACCACATAAGCAGAAAAAGCTGGAAGAGGTGCTCTGGCTCAAGTGGTAGAGCACTAGCCTTGAGCTGAAGAACTCAGGGACAGCACCCAAGCCATGATGGACAAAAAAAAAGAAAAGAAAAGAAAAGTCCTCTTTACCTGACGTGTAACTGTAACTATAACCCCTTCATAAATCACCTTTGTAATAATAATTTTTTAAGTTAAACTTGCTTATCAAGTTTGGAATCTGTAGCTGAAGCCTCTAATCCTAGCTACTCAAGAAGCTGAGATCTGAGGATTGTAGTTTAAAGCCAGCCCAGTGAGGAAAGCCCATGTGACTTATCTCCAATTAACCACCAAAAATTAGGAATGGCTCAAATGCTAGCATGCTAGCATGAGCAGAAAAAGCTAAGAGATCAAGCCCCACCACCAGCACACACAAAACAAAACAAAAAAACTGGCACTAGTGGCTCATTTCTGTAAGCCTAGCTACTCAAGAAGCTGAGGTCTGGGGGTCACAGTTCTAAGCCAGCTTATGCAGGAAGATCCATAAGGCTCTTATCCCCAACTAACCACCAAAAAGGCAGAAGTAGAACTGTAGCTCAAGTGGTAAACACCCCTCCAATCTTGAGCAAAAAGCTAAAGGATACAGTATCCAGGCCCTGAGTTCAAGCTCCTTCTTTGGCATACACACATAAAAAACCCTCCATGTGGGGCTGGAGAGGTGGCTCAGTGATAGAGCACTTGCCTTGCATGCCTGAGGCCCTGGGTTCGATTCCTCAGCACCACATAAGCAAAAAGAAAAAAAGCCGGAAGTGGCGCTGTGGCTCAAGTGGTAGAGAGCTAGCCTTGAGCTGAAGAGCTGAGGGACAGCGCCCAGGCCCAGAGTTCAGGCCCCACGACCAGACCCAAAAACAAAAACAAAAAACCCTCCATGTTAATTCCAAAGATGCTAGCTCCTTTCCATGCATTGGCTCATCCTCACATCGCCTTCCTGTTCAAGAAGCCACGGGAGCTCTTCGTCCAAGACAGGGATAGACACAAAGAGAAGTCAGAGGCTCAAGGGAGATCTAGAGTGTTCTCTGATAATTTCATCTGCTATACTGACAAAGGACCTTCCACGGAGCTGGTAGTTTGCGTGATAGGCTCCTCTCCTTTGAGTGCACCCTGGTTTCTCCAAGTGTTCCCCCCACAATGGGCTATTCTCATGAAACTTTCTACCCTGCTGACTCCAGGTTCTGTGCCCTCTCTGAAGAGCCATTAGTCCTACTCAGCACAGGCACTTATAAAACAAAGGCTTATCCATGGCCTGGCCATTTTCTTGAAAAGAAGGAGAAATAGAGCTAAACACAAACTTATATCCTCATATCTCACTCCCCCCATATTTGTATTATTGGTGTCATTTGCGAAGTTATCTTAAACCCAGAGACATCCAGAACAGGATGTGTGAGATAAAACACCATTTATTTGCAGCAAGTATTTATTAATCATTTCTATACATGGCATGGGCAAGACCTCTTCCTCCCCCTCTGCAGCTGATGGCCCTGGAGAATTCTTGGCAGAGGATTAGGTTGGGTTGGTTTGAAGCCAACAGGTATGTATTACAGACCTAGAACTGGAGCACCGTCTGGCCAAGCTCCCAGCCACCAGACAGACATAAGCCTCCCTAATGGTAACATTTATAGTTGCTGGCACTGGAAGCCAAACCAAATAGCACTTTCTGGGTGGGGTCAAGCCATAACCAAATCCTCTCAGGACCCTTCCCTCACCAGAAAGAATTGTGGGTGGCAAATGTACAAGGACACCTTTAGCTTTCCCTAGTCTCCTGTGGCGTCACTGCTTAGAATTGGGTCCCTCTGTCTCTTGTCAGGGAAACTATCATGGAATTGAAACTTTTTGATATGAGAAGTAAGGGGAGGGGTGGGAAGTTGGCTCAGTGGTAGAGTGCTTGCTTTACATGCCTGAGGCCCTGGGTTCCATTCCTCAGCACCATATAAGCAAAAAGAAAAAAGCCGGAAGTGGCGCTGTGGCTCAAGTGGTAAAGCGCTAGCCTTGAGCTGAAAAGCTGAGGGACAGCGCCCAGGCCCAGAGTTCAGGCCCCACAACCAGACCCAAAAAAAAAAAAAAGTAAGGGGAGGGGAAAGCTGAGTGGGAAGTGGCACTCCTGAGAGAATCTGTACCTGGGACCCACATCAAGTATATCTCTGGAAGCAAAAGGAGGAAGTACTCTCAGACCAGCCAAGATCTAAGGGACCTGGACACAAGAGACCTGCACTGTGAGTAGACAGGCCACTGCTGATGCTGCTGGACACCTCATGGCCAGAGTGACAGACACAACCCTGGAGCAGCTCCCCAGGCAAAGAAGAGAGTGGGCTGGGAGTCTACCATGGGAGAGACCCTCACAACCTCGCAGCCACATCCATGGAAACAATACAAGATGTGGCTAAGTCAGAACTCTTGCCTATTCTTGGGCAAGGAAACGCTGATGGCACCAGCTTGTTTGGCAAAATCTTAGAAGCCATGGTTGACATAGACATTATTGGTCACATCAGGAGGGAAGGGATGCTTTGGGCAGGAGATCTCATTGGCTGTTGCCATCTCTTCGGTTTGTTTCTGTTCCAGTGCCAGAGCTGGGTTAACATCAGGCCCTGCAGAAAGACAGAAACAGAGGCCCATACTCAGAAGGGGGCATGTAAGCAGCAGCATAGCCTGGAATGCAAGACCACAAAGCACAAGCCAAGCTTCTAACTTCATCTGTACCCCTCTGTTCTTGCTCTGCCTCACCAGTTGCCAGTTCAGCTGGCATGTATGCTGCCCCCTACTTTCTCGGGAGAAGCTCTGGGACCCAGTCTCTCTCCTTTTCTTACTGGCACACTTCTGTACTGCCATTTATAGCAACCTTTTTTAAGAGATGCTGTTGCTTACTCTCTACAATAAAGTCAGGGGCCAGGCACCAGTTGCTCACACCTGTAATCCTAGCTACTCAGGAGGCTGAGAGCTGAGGATCCTGGTTCAAAGGCAGCTAGGGCAGGAAGGCCCATGAGACTCCTATCTCTAAGCACTAAAAATCCAGAAGTGGAACTGTGGCCTAAGTGATAGAGTACTAGCCTTGAACAAAAAAAAAAAAAAAAAAAAAAAAAAGCTCAGGGACAGTATCCAGGCTTGAAAACACACACACACACACACACACACACAGTTTTATCATTAGTGATACTGAAGCTGGATAGGCTACAACTCTGCAGACGAAGTTTGTGACCTGATGTAGATGTCTCAGTTTCCTAATCTGTTATATTGACCTCAGGGGTGACACATATGTTGATGATACAAACTTAACCTTTAGCTAGTATTATATTACCAATACAGTCTAATGGGGAGAGGGGGACAGTAGACAGTAAAGTTAGACTCCCCCCAGCTTGTACTCCTGAGAGACACAACATCTTTGTTCTTGGGAGCTCAGTTTAAATCTTTGGAGAGAGATTTTCAACAAGAGGATTCAGGAGAGTGAACAACTGCACACACAGCTGGTTCAAGTTTAAATGGTAAAACTTTCTAGAGAGAATTAACACTACTCATAACGGACACAGGTTCTCTCCAAAGAAATATTAAATGACAGCCAGGTGATAATGGCTCATACTGATAATCCTAGCTACTCAGGAAGATGAAACCTAAAGATCTTTTTTGTGGAGCTTGAACTCAGGGCCTGGGCACTGTCCCTGAGCCCTTTTTCGACCCTCTTTGAGCCACATCTCCACTTCCGGTCTTTTGGCATTCTACCATTTGAGCTATAGCTTCACTTCTGACTGTTTGGTGGTTAATTGGAGATAAGAGGCTCACAGATTTCCTGCCTGGGCTGGCTTTGAATCAAGATCTTCAGATCTCAGAAGTAGTGCTGTGGCTCAAAGTGGTAGAGCACTAGCCTAACAGCAATGCAGTGGGCCACTGACAGAATGCTTAAGATAAAAAATTAAAAAAAAAAAAAAAAAAAGAGCAATGTGCCAGTGGCTCACGCCCGCAATCTAGCTACTCAGGAGGCTGAGATCTGAGGATCAAGGGTCAAAGCCAGCCCGGGCAGGAATGTCTATGCGATTCTAATCTCTAATAAACCACTAGAAAACCAGAAGTAGCGCTGTGGATTAAGCGGTAGAGTGCTCACCTTGAGCTGAAGAGCTGAGGGACAGTGCCCAGGCCCAGAGTTCAAGCCCATGACTGATTTAAAAAAAAAAAAAAAGATAAAAATATACTGGGCACCAACGGCTCATGCCTACAATCCTGGCAACTCAGGAAGCTGAGATCTGAGGATCATGGTTCAAAACCAGCATAGGCAGGAAAGCCTGTAAATCTCTTATCTTCAATTAACTTCCAAAAAACTAGAAGCAGAGATGTGGCTTAACTGGTAAAGCACCAGATTTGAGAAAATAAAAAGCCCAGGGACAGGGCCAAAGCCCCAAGACTAGCACAGGAAGGAAGGAAGGAAGGAAGGAAGGAAGGAAGGAAGGAAGGAAGGAAGGAAGGAAGACAGGGAGGGAGGGAGGGAGGGAGGGAGGGAGGGAGGGAGGGAGGGAGGGAGGGAGGGAAGGGAGGGAGGGAGTTTTTAAAATCAGGAGGTGTGGCCTTACTTTGGGCCCTGGGAGTTCTGACAACATTTGCAGGTGGCCATCATGTACTCCTGAATTTCCCTGGAATGTGTGTTGTCATCAGCACAGTCACCACAGCCTAGCAGGTACAGGCCTGGCTACTCACCCAGGTAACTCAGTACAACCGGCAGAAAGACCAGTCCATGCACCATGCCCAGCAGGGTTATCAATAAATTGAGCCGGAAGAAGAAGATCTGGATGAGCTGGGCATCAGCAAGGCCCAGGACAAGAATACCTGGCAGGTTGGTCATGGCCACTCCAGCAAATACCTGGGGGGAGAGAGGAGTCACAGCTAATTGTCAAATGGGACACAAAATGTTAGTTGGGACATAGGGTGGCTGACCCCACTCCACTCACCGCACTGCCCATAAAGACGGTAGCTTCTTCAGCCCTCTCCAGCCGAGTAGGCTTCGTGCTAACAGCAAAGGAGCGGGTGATGTGGGACACAAACTCCACAGACATGCCCACCGCCTACAGGCAGAGAAGGAGCTTCAGCTGAGAAAGCAGAAGGCAGAAGTAGGACAGGTGTCCAGATTCTAAACAGAACTGGGAGTGTCCTATGAGGCTGGACCCCAACCATTCCTCCAAGGGCCAGCAGGTGCTCATGTGTAAGAGGTTACCGTGACCAGGTTGATGAGGGACACAGCATTGTAGGTGATGCCCCATATGGCCATCAAGCCCATGGTGTCCACAAGGATCATGATGATGGAGATGAGGTTGAGGATACCAGAGCACATGTCCAGGCCGAGCAGGAGGTAGCAGACTATGAAGGTCGGGATGAAACAGAGGGCAAGCGTGAAGATGCCCTCAGGGAGAACCGTCAGGTATTGCTGGTAGAATACATTGGAAATCCTGCCAAAGAGCAGATGTGGTCACAGAATAGGCCTCATGAGCCCCTTTGATGGGCAGGAAACCCCATTTCAGAAGGACAACATTGCTTGGAGCTAGTGGCTCATGCCTGTAATTCTAGCTACTCAGGAGGAAAAGATCTGAGGATTGAGGTTCAAAGGCAGTCTGGGCAAGGAAGTCTGTGAGACTCTTATTTTTGATTAACTACGAAAAAGCTCAAAGTGGAGCTGTGGCTCAAATGGTAGCATGCCAGCCTTGAGCAAAAAAGCTATGGGACAATGCCCAGGCCCTGAGTTCAGTGTCCAGTACCAGAACAAAAGAAAAGAAGAAGAAGAAGAAGGGGAGGAGGAGGAGGAGTAGAAGAAGAAAGAGGAAGATGAAAAGAAAGAAGAAAAAGATAAGGAGGTAAAGGAAGAGGAGGAAGAAGAGGAGGAGGAGGAAGAAGAGAAAGGGGGAAGGTAGAGAGGACACTAAGGTTCAGAGTCTTAAGTTAGGGTTCTGGCCAGTGTGAGAAAAGCACAGGCTCTAGGCTACTTGCCCCCAAACTGGTCCTTGTCCCTCACCATCCCTCAGAAGCCAACTGCCCTGACTTCCCACATCTAGCAATTACCTCCCCACACCCTCTCTGGCCCAGCCCTCTAGGTCCTCACGTGTAGGGGAAGACCTCAAAGTCTGGGTCTGTTCCTGGCACCTTCCGCAAGTCAGCTGTAATGTTTTCTGCCAGCAGTCGAGCTGCCCGAAGAGCTTCTGTGAAATCCTGAGAATTCTTCAGTGGTTTGTGGTATCCCATGAACCTGGAGGCTAGATGGTCATGACACATGGGAGAGAACATATTGGATGTCAGGACATCCTCCAAGCACTCCAGGGACAGTAACATGGACATTTGACCAGGCTGGGTTCAGGTCTCTGCCACTATCATTTGAGATTGCTAGTAAACTTTGTGCAAGAGGCTTGCATTTTTGTTTGTACCATCCCCCAAACTCCAGCACAAATCCTTCTATATGGTTTCAAAACATGCACTGGATGTGTGCGCGTGTGTGTGCAGGCACTGGGGCTTATACTCAGGAGCTTGCACTCTCTCTCACTTAGCTTTTTGCTCAAGGCCAGCTCTACCACCTGGGCCACACCTCCACTTCTAGCTTTTTGCTGGTTAATTGGAGACAAGATTCTCTCAGATTTTTCTGTCCAGACTGACTTCAAATGAGGATCCTCAGATCTCTGCCTATTGAGGAGGATTACAGGCATGACTAACATCGGATAATTGAAAAGTAACTTAATAACTTGCAAATTATAAGAAAAAATTAGAAAGGAAGACAAAAATGAAAACAGTTGAATTGTAACTTAGGGCTCCCACTCGTAGTACAATTAAGGTTATTATTGCCTACAGAGGGCATGTATCAGGAAAAGAAAGCAGACAGCTATGCACACATAGAAAAAACAAAGGCAGGGCTGGGAAGGTGGCTCAGTGGTAGAGCGCTTGCCTTGCATGCCTGAGGCCCTGGGTTCGATTCCTCAGCACCACATAAGCAAAAAGAAAAAAGCTGGAAGTGGCGCTGTGGCTCAAGTCTCAAGTGGTAGAGCACTAGCCTTGAGCTGAAGAGCTGAGGGACAGCACCCAGGCCCAGAGTTCAGGCCCCTCGACCGGACCACCCCACTCCAAAACAAAAAAAAGAAAGAAAAAGAAAGGCAAAAGAGAATGATCTTAGACACACACAACCTTAAAATGGGAAGGTAGGTGCCTGCAGAGCCTCCTACCAGGCCTCTGAACCACCTATAGATAGTTCATAACCTGATATTTACCCAGTCCAGAGATTTGAGTTCGTCAGGGGTCACATGAAGCCTAGGAATTTGCCTTCTCAGCAATTTCCAAATGATGCTGATGCTGCTCGACAAAAACTCTCATTCTGAGCAACGCTGCTGTAGACTAACATACTACATACTGGAAGAAACCAAGGCTAAAAATGGGCACAGAATTGCCCCAGACTATGGAGTGGAAGCCAGGTTCCATGTCTGCTTTCTCCATGGCCGAACCCATTCCTCTGTCCCTAACTGAAACACCCCCACCCATTCTGTCTATATTGGCTCTGTCTGGGAATCAGGGCTGGAGCAACATGGGCTGCTCTTCCAGGAAGGTAGGGACTTCGTGGAAGAGTTAGCTAGGAAGGCACAGCTAGTGTGCTGCAGTTGTATGTAGACAGTAATTAAAAACATGAATTGGGCTGGGAATGTGGCTTAGTGGTAGAGTGTTTGCCTAGCATGCATGAAGCCATAGGTTCAGCTCCTCAGTGCTACCACATAAACAGAAAAAGCCAGAAGTGATGCAGTGGCTCAAGTGTCAGAGTGCTAGCCTTGAGCAAAAGAAACTCGGACAGTACCCAGGCACTGAGTTCAAGCTCCAGGACAGGCAAAAAAAAAAGAATGAATTGTTGCAATGTAAAACGAAAACATCTATTAAAAGTTTCCCTAGCCAGGCACTAGTGGCTCATGCCTGTAATCCTAGCTACTGAGGAAGCTGAGATCTGAGGATCATGGTTCAAAGCCAGCCTGGCAGAAAAGTCCGTGAGTCTCTTATCTCCAATAAAACTACTAGAAAACCGGAAGTGATGCTGTGGCTCAAGTGGTAGAGCACTAGCCTTGAGCTGAAGAGCACAGGGACAGCACCCAAGCCCAGAGTTCAAGCCCCACAACCAAAAAAAAAAAAAGTTTCCCTGCTCAGGCCCATCTCTGCTCCAGGGCCACCACCCTGAATGTTGTACTCAGGGTGAACTATGGCTAGCTCCCTCTGGCAGATACCATCTAGTTCTGCCACCTGCTGTATTCAGTGTCAGCCCACTGTGGGGCCTTTTCCCCATTAGTCTAAATGCACCTTATCTTGTTACTATTGACAGATGCCTGCACTCACTGACATCTGGGGTATGACTTATGCATGCTAAAAAAGGGGCTTAGCCAGTGGAGGAGGAAAGGCGGGGAGCAAGTGACTCCTGAGTATGACATCAACTGAATGAATGTCATACATGTCACACAGACCTTGGGTTTGGGACAAGAGGAGGAATGAAGTCTGAGAATATGAAGTTGGGAAGTGGTCCCCTGCCAACAGTGCCAGAGGAGTTAGAAGCTCCCTTTACAAAGGGAGGGAAGAGAGAAGATACAAGGTTAAAAATGTTGTTCCTGTCTGGTGATCGTAGCTCACACCTGTAATCCTAGCTACTCAGGAGGCTGAGATCCAAGGATCATGGTTCAAAGCTAGCCTGGGCAAGAAAGTCCATGAGATTCTGATCTCCAACTAACCACCAATAAGCCAGAAGTGGAACTGTGGCTCAAGTGGTAGAGTTCTAGCTAGCCTTGAGAGGAAAAAAACTCAAAGATAGCTGGGCACTGGTGGCTCACGCCTGTAATCCTAGCTACTCAGGAGGCTGAGATCTGAAGATCGCGGTTCAAAGCCAGCCCAGGCAGAAAAGTCCATGAGACTCTGATCTCCAATAAACCACTAAAAAACCGGAAGTGGCACCGTAGCTCAAGAGGTAGAGCACTCACCTTGAGCTGAAGAGCACAAGGATAGCGCCCATGCACAGAGTTCAAGCCCCACAACCAAAAAAAAAAAAAAGTTTCCCTGCTCAGGCCCATCTATGCTCCAGGGCCACCACCCTGAATGTTGTACTCAGGGTGAACTATGGCTAGCTCCCTCTGGCAGATACCATCTAGTTCTGCCAACAACTGACCAAAAACAAACAAAACAAAACAAAACAAAAAAAACCCTCAAAGACAATGCCCAGATTCTGAGTTCAAACTCCATGACTAGCAAGGGTGCACTTGCATGCATGTGCACACACGCGTGCATACACACACACACACACACACACACACACACACACACACACAAGGCTATTTCTTAGGGCTTTATAGGACCTCTGAAGCAGCCAACTTGAACCATTTCTCCCTCCCCAAGTTAGGCTATGCTTACCTAGAACCTGGCCATCTGGGCCCAAATTCACAGAGGTACTGTATGCTGCCAGGCCGCTGTAGGTAGGAGGACAGAGTTGAGGCTTCATGAGGGCAAGTCCTCCACCCATCTATCCACCCGCAGCACCTCCTGGACCACTTCTGCCCCTCTATTCACCACCTCCAGGAGCCACAGGTTCACCCTCCCCAATGAACCTACCCCTTGGGACATTTGATGTTCGGTGGGTCACTCAGGAACCAAGGAAGATACTTGTGGAACTGCTCCACCGTGGGCCGTATAGGACCCAGCGTGAAGCTCATGCAATTCTTTATGCAGTTCCAAGAGTCTGTGGAGAGAGGTAGTCTCTGGGAAATGGCACCCCAGGCAGGGAGGGCCCTACTCTGACCTTCACCTGTCTGCTCCCATCTAAGGCTTCTAAAGGATCTGAATTGGTCAAAGCTGTGTGTAGCACTGGGGCTTGAACTCAGGGCCTCTTGCTCTTGCTTGACTATTTGGCTCAAGGCTGGTACTCTACTACTTGAGCCACAGCTCCACTTCCAGCTTTCAGCTAGTTAATTGGAGCTAAGAGTCTTACAGCTTTGGACATTAATCCTCAGTTATCAGCCTTCTGAGTAACTAGGATTGAAAGTGTGAGCCACCAGTAACCAGCTTCATCTGTCATCTTTAACTTCGGGAGATAGTCCCCTCTCAGTTATATAAAGCCCTTCATCTATGGCACAGCTGCCTAGATACAAGAAACACAAGCTCTCCCATCACCTACAAACAACTCATGGCCACTCATAACTCCACCTTCTCCCTACGCTAATGTGTCCTGAGAGCATACTCAGGGCAGAAGACTCCAGGGCCGAAGATCACCTAGATGGGGCCTCTTTTGCCCTGAGGCTGAGCCTGTACCCCTACCCACATGGACCCTGTGGGAAGGGAAGTGGTTGAGAGAGCCCAACAAGTCCTTTCTTTTCTCTTGCCTCAGTTTCCCCAAGCTATGATGGACAATGAGTCCCCTGAAGCCCCACACTCACTATCAGTTGAGGGGCAGAATTCATCCTTATTGGGGCCAGAGAGATAAAGGCGGCAGCAGGAGGATGGGGCCAGCCAGTCGATGAAGTCATCCAACCAGGAGGACACAGGGACAGCCAGGTAAGACCTGAGGCCAAGGAGGCAGGAGTAAGGAACAGGACAGTGAGCAAGTGGAGAGATGGGTCCTTCCCATAATTTGACCTCCACCTGGGGCCTCCCCAGGGATCTGGGCAGGAGGACAAGCAATGAGCAGGGGCTGGGCATAGCCAGCACTTACTGATCTGGGAATTCGCTGGCATACTGGATCTTCTGGGTTAAGGAAAAGTTGTTGCAGCCAGCACTGGAGCAGATGGCATTCATGCCTGCCTCACTGGAGAAGTTGTATCCTGATGTGGTGACGAAGTACACTGGGGGCCCCACTTCAAAGTAACGGTTCAAAGCGAGGAAGTAGTCAAGCAGGTAGGAGTCCTGGAGGGAGGAGGATCAGGGAGTGTCAGGCCCACATGCACACCTCAAAGGACCCCTCCAGCTCACAGTCTGATGTAGACCCTGACGCACATGCTTGAAAGTATGTGCAGAGGGACTTGCCAAGGAACACATGGACATAAAAAGAAGTAAATGCTCAGAGAGGCTAGAGGCATGGCTTAGGTGGTAGAGCACCAGCCAGTGAGCAAAATCGTCAGATACAGAGTTTGAGTGCCAGTGTCAGACAAAAGAAAAAAGACATATGCTTGTCTGTCTCTTTTTATGTTTGTGTGTGTGCACACTGTGGATTGAACCTAGGGCCCTGAACTTACAAGGCAATACTCTACTACTGAGCTACACCTTGTGTCCTTGGATTTTTTTTTCCAGTCCTGGGGCTTGAACTCAGGGCCTGAGCACTGTCCCTCATCTTTTTAGCTCAAGGTTAGCACTCTACCACTTGAGCCATAGTGCCACTTCCAGCTGTTTCTGTTTATGTGGTACTGAGGAATGGAACCCAGGGCTTCATGCATGCTAGGCAAGTGCTCTACCACCAAGCCACATTTCCAACCCCCTGCCCTTGGATTTTGTTGTTGGTGGTGGTGGTTGTGGGGCTTGAACTCTGGGTCTGGGTGCTGTCCCTCAGCTCTTCAGCTCAAGGTGAACACTTTACCACTTGAGCCACAGTGCCACTTCTGGCTTTTTTCTGCTTATGTGGTGCTGAGGAATCAAACCCAGGGCCTCATGCATGCAAGGCAAACAGACAAACTGGCACCAGTGGCTTTACACCATAATCCTAAACAACTCAGGAGACAGATCTGAGGATCACAATTCAAAGTCAGACCACGTAGACAAATCTTCAAAACTCTATCTCCAATTAACCAGGAAAAAGCCAGAAGTAGAGGTATTATACAAGTGGTAGAGCACCCTTGAGAAAAAAACAAAACTAAGCAAGAGGTTGGGAATGTGGCTTACGCCTGTAATCCTAGTTATTCAGGATCATGGTTCAAAGCCAGCCCAGGCAGGAAAGTCCGTGAGACTCTTATCTCCAATAAACCACTAGAAAATCGGAAGTGGCGCTGTGGCTCAAGTGGTAGCATGCTTGCCTTGAGCTGAAGAACTGAGGGATAGCGCCCAGGCCCAGAGTTCAAGCCCCACAACTGAGAAAAAGAAAAGAAAAAAGAAAGGGAGACAGGCACAGAAGCTTACACCTGCACTCCGAGCTACTCCAGAGACAGACATCAAGACGGTTCAAGACCATGCAAAAAAAAATTCATAAGACTCCCATCTCAACCAATAAAACTGGGCATGGTGTTGTGTGCCTGTTTTCCCAGCTACACAAGAAGTGTAAATGGTTGAATAAAGATAGACATATAGATCAATGAAACAGAATAAAAAGTCCAGGAATCAATCTTCACACATACAGTCAAAGGATTTTGACAAGGGCATTTTTTAGCCCAGTCAACAGAGAAAACAGATTTGTAACAAATGATGCTGGCAAACTTGGATGACCACAAGCAAAGGAATTAAGTTGGGACCCTTACCTAGCACCATATGCAAAAGTTAACTCAAGACAAATCAAAGAACTAAATGTAAGACTTATAAAAATCTATAAAACTCTTAGGAGAAATGAGAACACTTCATGGCACTGAATTTGACAATTCTTTCTTGGATATGACACAGATAACAAAAGAAATGAATAGGACTTTATGAATATTCTTAAATTGTACACATGAAAGAACACTGCCAAGAAAGTAGAAAAGCAAGCCACAAAAGAGAGAAAATGTTTTTCTGGGATGGGAAGGTGGCTCAGTGGTAGAGCACTTGCCTTGCATGCCTGAGGCCCTGGGTTCAATTCCTCAGCACCACATAATCAAAAAGAAAAAAGCCGGAAGTGGCGCTGTGGCTCAAGTGTAGAGCGCTAGCCTTGAGCTGAAGAGCTGAGGGACAGCGCCCAGGCCCAGAGTTCAGGCCCCACGACTGGACCCCCCCCCCCAAAAAAAAGAAAAGAAAAAGAAAATGTTTTTCTGTCATATATCTGATAAGCAATTGATTTCCAGAATATTTGGATAATTCTTTTTTTGTATATATTTTATTGTAAAAATACTGAACAGAGGGGTTACAGTTACATGAGTAAGGTAATGGGTACATTTCCTATGGAGTGTTGCTACCTCCTCCTTTGTTTTACCCCTAATATTTGGAGAATTCTTAAAACTCAACAACAGAAACAAAATGACCTAGTTCAAAAGTGGGCAAAGAATTTAAATAGATTTGGGGGGGCAGGGGGAGGCTGGGAAGGGATGTGAAGGGTAAACAAAGGAGGAGGCTGCAATGCTTGATAAGAAATGTACTCATTATCTTGCCCATGTAATTGTAACTCCTCTGTACAGTATGTTCACAAAAAATAAAAATAAAAAAAAAAGATAATTGACAGCCATAGTAATGAGCATTCACAGGGAAGAAAGAGACATAGAGTGAAGTGAAACTATTAATTAGTTAAAATTGATGAATTTTTAGTGCTGGCCATACTCTGATATGGGAACTCTATGTAACACAATAAATGATAAACCTGAAAGAAATCATGAAAAAAAAAAGAATTTAAATAGATTTGTTTTTCAAAGAAGATAGACAAATAGCCAAAAGCACATGAAAAGATACACAACGTTATGAATTATTAGGGGAAATCAAATCAAAACCACAGCAAAGCCAGGCACACCTTTAATCCCAGCACTGGAGAGGCTGAGGCAGGAGGATCATGAGCTCTGGGCCAACTTGGGCAACATAGTGACCCTAACTCCAAAAAAAAAAAAAAAAAAGCAACAACCATTATAAAAACTCAATGAGACAGATTCTATTTCATTCCCACTAGGATAATGAGAAAGAAGAGGAGGGAAAAGGAGGATGGGAAGGAAGAAGAAAGAAGAGAAAGAAAATCACAACCCGGTGCCAGTGACTCACACCTGTAATCCCAGCTACTCAGGAGGCTGAGATCTGAGTATCCAGGTTCAAAGCCAGCCTGAGAAGGAAAGTCTTCAATTAACCACCAGAAAACCAGAAGTGACACTGTGGCTCAAGTGTTAGAGTGCTTGCCTTAAGCTGAAGAGCTCAGGGACAGTGCCCAGCCCCACAACCAACAAAAAAAAAAAAAAGAAAGAAAAAAAAAGAAAATCACAAGTGTTGGTGAGGATTTCACATATTGAGCTGGCAACTAAACTGTTGCCAGAATGGCCAGCATGGCCAGCCATCATGTAGCCAGCTCTCCAGACACAGGCCACCGCGTCTACTGTGGCCTGAAGCTGGCTATCAGCTCTGGCACTTTCAGATACAGATGAGATTTCTCTACCTTAGTCTGCTGGGTTTTCTGAGGTGCTAACTCTGCACAATTGCTGAGCACTTGCTGAGTGTGGCCGCCCTTCCCAAATCTAAGAGAACCAATGGCAGAAAGACACCAGGCTCACCTTGGGCAGGGCCAGCTCCTGGTCTAACCCCACACTTATGTGACACATGAAGTAGAGACTTGCTCCAAACAAGGCCAGAAACAGCACCATCTGAAGAGGAAAGCAGTGCATGAGAACTTTTCCATCAAGAGCCTCCATTTCCCCCCAATTTGCACCCACTGGAGGATCATGGAAAATTTCCTGGAGGTGGAAGATTTCAAGTTCCAGCCCTGCTTATCAGCACCTGGGCCTAGGCAATCCATCCATCTTCCACCCTGCTCTCTCCTAGTTCCCCTGCCCTATGGTCACCTGAGGGTGACCCCTAATCCCACTCACCACGACAGGGCGGGTGAGCCGATGCAGCAGGAAGGGAGCATATTTCTTGCGGAAGAAGCGAAGCAGGAACCCCTCACTGTTTTGCTCAGATGGAGGCAGACGCCGAGATGCAAAGCAGCAACAGCAGTCAGAACGGGATGCCTGGTGGCCAGGGGAGAGGGTGCCTCAGAATCACTGTTCTGGAGACTGCCTCTTATAGAAAGGAAGGTGTCACCCTAACTGCATTTTGGGGATACCCAGTGTGCTGCTCTCTCTGTTTTTATGTTCTACCCTAATTTATTATCTGAATTTTATATCATCACAGAGCCACCAATTCAACTTCTGTCAACGTCTTATTTCTAGCTGGAGTCAGTGGCTCACACCTATAATCCTAGATACTGAGGAGGCTGAGATCTGAGGATCGCAGTTCATAGCCAGCCTAGGCAAGAAAGTCTGTGAGGTGCTTATCTATAGATGTGGCTCAAGTGATAGAGTGCCAGCTTTGAGCAAAAAAGCTAAGGGACAGCATCTAGGACCTGAGTTCAAGTACTGGCATAAACCAACAAGTCAATAAACCTCATTTCTATTTTCTTTTGCAACCTGTGTGCTTTAGAAGGTTTGACCTTATTTCCAAAAATGATCAAAAGTTATCTTTCCTTGCGAAATGGAGGATTACATGGCCCCAAATATTCCCTCCCAGTACAATACCCCCATCTCCCACCCCCATCTCTGAGTCATATCTGTAACTGTGAGGCCCAATCTATATCCCAGCCGAGGTCAGGACCCAGACAGAGCAAGTCCCTTGGTCATGGTCCACTTGTTCCCACCTCCTGCCTCTTGCTGTCCAGGGAGAACAGAGCCACAAAGGCAGTCATCTGCAGAAGGAAGTCAAAAATGATGGCCAGGCCGGAGGTCAGGGCAAAGGTCCGCACAGCTGGCATGGGAGTCAGAGCTCCTATGGGGGGAGACAGCTGTCAGGGCACCCTGGCATCATGGGCAGGGTGAACACCTATACAGACCATGTGCAGAGAGAAGGGGGAAATGGAGTCTGCCAGTCTCCACTGTCCTCTGAGAATTTCTGATTTCCCTTGGACTAATCCAGCAAGGCAGCACCTGAATGGGGTAGGGCTTACCCAGGAAGAAGCAGATGGCCTCGGAGAGGCTGCATAGCAGCATACTGGGGGCCACACTGCCCAGGGCTCGGCCAATGTGGGCCTCTCGCTGCTCCCCAGGCTTTCGCGGCAGCCTCTGTGAGGAAACAAGAAGCAGAGGATACAAGTGGTGTGCCATGGGCATTATCCCCTGAAGACCAGAAATGTTGGCGAGTGCTCAGAGTTGTGGCCAACCCTGAGAAAATGCTTGACCTTCTAGAGACAGGAACTGACTCTACTAACACTCGCAAGCTCACTTTTTACTTCTGAGCAGAAGCGCCTGGTTCATTCAGGAGGTCATTGTATGCTTGTTCCCAGCATACCTAAATGGACTCTGATTTGTGCTTGCCATGAGACGCCACACCATAGTGTAAAGACAGGGGGTGGTTCAAATGTGCCAACACAGAAAGCGTCCCCCAGATATTGAGGGGGTTAACAGAAAACAAGATCACGTCTGCCTCTGCCCATCAACTTCCTCTCTGCATCCTGATACAGGCAAGATGAATGCATTTATGTCAGCACATGCTATTTTCTACCAGAGCGGTTCTGAGTGCCCATGTACAAATGACTCTTCAAGAATACCCAGAAAAACATGTTTTGTTGGGGGAGGAGGAGCAAAAGAGGGGACAGACAAATGGAGGGAGGAAGGGTGAGCAAGTGCAGTCATTATATTTAATGTACATTATATAAAACTTTGAACTAAGCTGGGTGCTGGTGGCTCATGCCTATAATCCTAGCTACTCAGGAAGCTGAGATCTGAGGATTGCAGTTCCAAGCTAGCCCAGGCAGGAAAGTCCATGAGATTCTTAACTCCAATTAGCCACCAGTAACAGAAGTGGCACTGTGGCTCAAAGTGGTAGAGTGCTAACCTTGAGTGAAAAAGCTTAGGGACAGTGCCCAGGCCCTTAGTTCAAGCCCCATAACTGACCAAAACAACAACAACAATACTTTGAACTACATAAATTGAGGGTATGGGTGGGATTGAGAAAGATAGGGGAGAACAACAGAAGAAGTAACATTGATCAAAAGACATTAAACTCATAATCTGACTGGATGAATCAAAATCCCTTTGAACAACTACTTAAAAATTTTTTTTTTTTTTTTTGGGTCCGGTCATGGGGCCTGAACTCTGGGCCTGGGCACTGTCCCTCAGCTCTTCAGCTCAAGGCTAGCGCTCTACCACTTGAGCCACAGTGCCACTTCCGGCTTTTTTTTTTTCCTTTTTGCTTATGTGGTGCTGGGGAATTGAACCCAGGGCCTCAGGCATGCAAGGCAAGCGCTCTACCACTGAGCCACCTTCCCAGCCCCGTAACTACTTAAAATTTAAAAAAGAAAAGCCAGATACAGGTGGCTATCAGGAGGCTCAGATCTGAGGACCTCGATTTGAAGCCAGCCCAGGCAAGAAAGTCTGAGAGACTCTTATCTCCAATTAATCACAAAAAAAGCCAGAAGTGGTGCTGTGGCTCAAGTGGTAGAGCCCTAGCTTTGAGCAAAAGGAGCCTGGGGACTATGCCCAGGCCCAGAGTTCAAGCCCACAACTGGTTAAAAAAAAAAAAAAAAGACAGGAAAAAAAAATGCCCAACAAATGGATGTGGGGCTCTGTCTGGAGAGGATTATTGGAGTTACAGATGGACAGATGGAGGTTAGGGTAGATACCTTCTCCTTTTTTTTTTTTTTTTGGTCGGTCATGGGGCTTGAACTCTGGGCTTGGGCACTGTCCTTGCGCTCTTCAGCTCAAGGCGAGCACTCTATCTCTTCAGCCACAGTGCCACTTCCCGTTTCCTAGAGGTTTATTGGAGATAAGAGTCTCGAGGACTTTCCTGCCCAGGCTGGCTTTGAACTGTGATCCTCAGATCTCAGCCTCCTGAGTAAATAGGATTACAGGTGTGAGCCACCAGCACCCGGCTGATAACTTCTCTTTCTTAGGGCAGGAACACAAAGGTGTAATGTCTGTGTGCCTCCGATCGTTTAAAATATTCATTGACATGAACTCCAGGAAATGGAAACAAGACTTTTTTTCTTTTTTTTTTTTTTTTTGGGTCCGGTCACGGGGCCTGAACTCTGGGCCTGGGCGCTGTCCCTCAGCTCTTCAGCTCAAGGCTAGTGCTCTACCACTTGAGCCACAGCGCCACTTCCGGCTTTTTTCTTTTTGCTTGTGTGGTGCTGAGGAATCGAACCCAGGGCCTCAGGCATGCAAGGCAAGCGCTCTACCACTGAGCCAACTTCCCAGTCCCGACTTTTTTTCTTTATTGTTGTTTTTGTTTTCTTTTCTTTTTGTCTTTTTTGTTCATTTAATTGTCTTTGGGAGAGAAAGGGGGCACAGAAATGGAGGGACAAAAGGTGAACAAATATAGCGCATCAGTGGTACTCACTAGAGACTATGTTGAAACTGATCTATACAACTTGGGGAGGGGGCTGGGAGAGAGTGAGGGAAGAGGTGACATTGTCCTAAGAAAAATGTACTCTACCTGACTTATGTAACTATAACCCTTCTGTACATCACCTTTACAATAACAATAAAAATTAAAAAAAAAAAACTTTCTTACCTGGTACTGGAGGACAAAAATGAAGATGTTGTCAGCGCCCACAGCCAGCACCAGGAAAGGCACCACTTGCACGATGATCAGGGAGGAAGGTACTCCCACATAGGAGAAGAAGCCCATGGCAGCTACGACGGCTGCTATCACCACCATCACCCCACCCAGGCCCACCGTGGCCTTGGATTCCACCTGCAATGCATCTAGGTTCAGTCTCCTGGCCACCACTGCCCACTGCCCACACCCTCCCCACTCCCCAGGCTGGGCAGCCAACAGCAGGCAGCTGGCACCTGCAGATGTTCAGTGCCACCCATCCCAGTGAGGAGCTCACTGCACAGGCAGGGAGCTAGCTCATGTTTTGTTTTGTTTCTTTTTTTGTGCCAATATTGGGGCTTGAACTCAGGCTGGGCACTATCGCTTGGCTTTTTCACTCAAGACTGGCACTCTATTACATGAGCCATATATCCACTTCTAGCTTTCTGTTGGTTAATTTGTGCCAGTGCCAGTGGCTCACACCTACAATCCTAGCTACTCAGGAGGCTGAGATCTGAGGATCTCGGTTCAAAGCCAGCCTGGATAGGAAAGTCTGTGAGACTCTTATCTCCAATAAACCACTCAAAAACCTGGAAGAAGCGCTGTGGCTCAAGTGGTAGAGCACTAGCCTTAAGCTGAAGAGCTGAGGGACAGCGCCCTGGCCCAGAGTTCAAACCCCACAACCGACCAAAAAAAAAAAAAAAAAAGAATTCCAATCCTGGTCTTGAACTAACTAAATAAATAAATAAATAAATGCCTATAGCTGGGCTCACACCTATAATCCTAGCTACTCAGGAGGCTGAGTTCTGAGGATTATGGTTTGAAATCAGCCAGGGCAAGAAAGTCTGAGACTCTTATCTCCAATTAACCACCAGAAAACTGAAAGTGGAGCTGTGGTTCAAGTGGTAGAGCGCCCTTCTTGAGCTGAAGAGCTAAGGGACAGTGCCCAGGCCCAGTGTTCAAGCCCCACAACCAAAAACAGAGTTTCACAAATCTTCCTGCCCAAACTGGCTTCAAAGCACATCCTCAAGTGTTGAACTTTCTGAGTAGCTAAGATTACAGGCAAGAGCCACCAGTCCCTAACAGCACAGTGTTTTAAATACTGTATTACTATGTATTTGGACAATCAGGATATGTTTGGGAGCAGAAAGAGCTGTTGATCTTTTAACATAGAAAGCATTCAAGAACTATTACCCTAGCTAAGTGTAGCTCATTCCTATAATCCTAGCTACTCGGGCAGCTGAGATCTGAGTATCATGGTTCAAAATCAGCCCAAGCAGTAAAGTCTGTGAGGCTCTTAACTCCAATTAACTCAACTCCAATTAACTATCAAAAAAATCCAGAAGTGGAGTTGTGGCTCAAGTGGTAGAGCACCAGTCTTGAGCAAAAAAGCTAAGGGACAGCACCTGGGCCCTGAGTTCAAGCCCCAGTACCATCACAAAAATTATATATATATATATATATATATATATATATATATATACTTTTGTGGCTAATTATATTTATGTATTATATAACTTTTGTGGATATATATTACATATATTTATACATTTTATATTATATATACACATATACATATGTATATATACATATATACATACATATATATACATATGTGTGTGTGTGTGTGTGTGTGTGTATATATATATATATATATATATCTCCCCCTGTGGAGGAGCCTCTTTAGATGCGAACAGCTTGCTGCTTTGTTTTCTTTTTTTTCAGAGCTGAGGACCAAACCCAGGGTCTTGTACTTGCCAGGCAAGTTCTCTTTCACTGAGCTAAATCCCCAACCCCAGCTTGCTATTTTGAGGTTAGAAAAATTCTAGCAGTCCTACTGGTAATACCTTAGGCTCTGGGCTCTCCTGGATGTGCCCCTCCCATTCTCACCAGCACTCTGGTGCAGCTGGAGTAGGTGCCCAGGGCCAGGGCAATGTACAGGAATATGACAAAGTAGCTGATGGTGAAGATGGGCAGATCCTTCAAGGTGGTGCGGTTGATCTCATCTTCCAGAGAGCGCTGCAAACACATCAACCAGCTTGCTGACTTGGGTGGGGTCTCTGGGCTCCATGCCTAAGATCTGGTGAGACTCCAGGAATGGTTAACACAAGCATCATGTGTTGGCGGTCACTGCCCAGGGCCACCCAGGGAGAGGCAGAATCAGGATAGAGGTGCAGAAACCTACTCAGGATCACAGGAATTGCAACTGCAGAGCCAAGGACCCTACAGCCCCTACCTCAGCCATGAAGGCGACCTGGAACCTTCCAGCTGTCCTCTGCTGGAAGTCCTGCAACTCCTTCAGGAAGGCCTCCTCCCAGAGCTTGACCTGGGCCAGTTTGGGATCCTCAGGAGGGTAGTTGTTGATGGAGAAGGTCATGACCAGAGCCTCTGCCTCTGAGTAGTCCATCCCTGGATAAGAAATGTTCAGTCCATCTCCAAGTGTACCCTGCCCTCCTCCTCACTCTAGCCATACTGACTCTCCTCCAGGTACACCTCCACCCACTCCAGCTACACCCCTGCCTCTCCTCCCCCTCTAGTTACATCCCCATCTCCCACTGCGTCTCCTCTCCTGCTCCTCTCCCCTTTTTCATACCGATCATAGCCTAGTTCCATAGCCCCATTTTCCTCTCTCAAGCAAAGGCAAAACCTTTTTGTTCAGACATGAAACCAGAGCCCTGTTGGTCAGCATCTCCAGAAGATAGGGGAAGTGGCAGAGGCAAGACAGGTCACCTGCTGTCCCCATCTGCCAAGTCATTCCCAGGCAGTGGGATCACCCATCCCCACCACGTCCATCCTGCTGTTCTTAACCCAATACTTCCCCTCTCAGGGGGCACCCAGCTTACCTTGGTATCCCCCCACGGCGAGGAACGGGAAGATAGGGGCCCCATAGTCTGCTATACAGCTCAAGGCCAACGTTGTGCCGTCTTTATAGGTGAGCGGGGAGCTGGAGGGAGACCACAAAAGGAAGGAGGCTTTCCCGGCCCTGCCTGGTTTGGCCCTGCCCTTTCCCTGGACCACAGCACCCTGGGAAGAGGAGCCACTAGCACTAGTGCAGATTGTCTGACCCAGTGGGTTGTAAATGGCTCTCTTCTTATCAAGATTTCACATGGAGTCCAATCCGCAAAGTGAAGGAGCTTCCCAGAATGCCTCCTTTGGCCAGGCAGGGACTGTACGCTGTTCTCCCTGTGCGCTCCTTCCCACAGCCAGGCCTGTTACTATTTGATTCCCAGATATGCATCAAACTTAAGTTAAGATCCTATGGGTTGGGAAGTCTGGATTTAGGCCACAGTCTCCTGCTCTGCTCTCAGTGCAGCTCCTCAGCCTCCTCCCACGCAGAGCTTGAGTTGAAAATCTGGACTCTAAAGACCAGGAGCTCACCAGCCACTGCCCTTGGGCAAGCTTGTCCCTTTCAACTTGACATTTTCTCTTTTTTTGCCTGTCTGTGTGTTGTTCCTGAGTTTCTTTTGCTCAAAACTAGCACTCAAGCCGGGCGCCGGTGGCTCACGCCTGTAATCCTAGCTACTCAGAAGGCTGAGATCTGAGGATCACGGTTCAAAGCCAGCCCGGGCAGAAAAGTCTGTGAGACTCTGATCTCCAGTAAACCACTAGAAAACCAGAAGTGGTGCTGTGGCTTAAGAGGTAGAGTGCTCCCCTTGAGCTGAAGAGCGCAGGGACAGCGCCCAAGCCCAGAGTTCAAGCCCCACAACTGACAAAAAAAAAAAAAAAAAAAACTAGCACTCTACCACTTGAGTCATGGCACCACTTCTGGCTTTTTCTGATTACGTGGTACTGAGGAATCAAACCCAGGGCTTCATGCATGCAAGGCAAACACTCTATACCACTAAGCCACATTCCCATCCCTCAACTTGACCTTTTCTATAGAGCACCTCTCTGGGAGACACAGACACCAGGGCAAAGCTCTCTACTGGCCTTCTCAGCTCTGAGCAAGTAAGTGAATTGGTCAACAGCTCAAACTGGGAGTACAGGTTGCTGTGCAACCTTGTCCTCGCTATATCTCTGTTTTCCTGTCTACAGAATGAGTGTCATTGAACCACCTCTGAGGTTGTAAGCATCCAAAATCAAAGTGAAGATACCATACTAGTATGGCACACTTGACTACTGATGCATTCCTAGGATAGCCAACAGCTCCTTTCTATCCTACCATTGCTGAGGGATAGTCACTGGCTCCTGGCAGCACAGATACTCAGAGCCAGACAGAAGGCACAGAGCCTTCTAATTCAATGGACTACAGAGTGGGTATGGACTGGGGCCCCTGGGAATCTTAGGGACTTCTCCAGAGTCTCCAAGATCAACATGTCCTCATAATAAGGCTAAGATGCAGCTGTTGCCACTAATTTTCTTTTTTTGGGGGGAGGGGAGGGAGGGGGGTTGGTCGGTCATGGGGATTGAACTCTGGGCTTGGGTGCTGTCCCTGCCCTCTTCAACTCAAGGCAAGCACTCTACCGTTTGAACCACAGCGCCACTTCCAGTTTTCGAGTGGTTTATCGGAGAGAAGAGTCTCACGGACTTTCTTACCTGGGCTGGCTTTGAACCGTGATCCTCAGATCTCAGCCTCCTCAGTAGCTAGGATTATAGGTTTGAGCCACCAGTGCCCCGCGCCACTAACTTTCATTTGCACTTGAGTGGTGGGACTATAACCCACTTCAACGAGCCTCTCCTGCTGCTGGCCTGCCTGTCACCTTTTCCTTGGCCCAGTAGCCCTGTCAGTATTTTGTTTCTCCCACTCAGAATGGACAGAACCCCTAGCAGTGAAGGATGTGGATGAGACCTGAATTGAATCACCTAGACCAAGGCCTGGAGCCAGAGACCAGCCACAACCCTAAGCTAGATCAAAAGCGCCTTTTTCTATTATGTCTCTCTTGGTCTACTAACAGCTCTACAGGGCATGGCAGAAATATAAGAAAAGAAAAATGGCCAATGCTTGTAATCCTAGCTACTCAGGAGGCTGAGATCTGAGGATCACAGTTCAAAGCCAGCCAGGGCAGGAGAGTCTGTAAGATTCTTATCTTCAATTAACCACCAAAAGCCCAGACAACATGCAGGCCCCAGGCTCAAGCCTCAGTACCAGTACAGAAAAAAAGGAGAAGAGGAAGAAGGAAGAGGAAGAGGAAGAGGAGGAGGAGGAGGAGAAGGAGGGGGTGGACATGGGCTATGACAGCCATGAGCAAACTTGTTACAGGGAGTGGATGTGAAGATAGTGAGGCCAGAGAAGAGGTTCAGAGAGAATCAGGCACCGGATAGCACACATAGGAGCTGCCTGTACTCCTGCAGGAAGGGACCTAAGGCCTGACTCAGTTCCCAGGATGCCACAAAAGCCACCACCTGCTCTTCTCTTGGACCACGGAGGACTCACTTGACACAGTAGAGGAAATGGTCTCTCCAGTCCACCTCAGAAGTCTGGCCCATCAGTGTCTGATTGGCTGTGAGCAGCAGCAGTGTACGATTGTTCTGGAAATACTGTAAGAGGCTGTTGACACAGCAGTCAGAGAGGCTGGTGTTGTGCGGGTTAAGGGGTGCGTAGCAGATGTCCTGCAGGGAGATGTTTCGCTGGGCCTCGGGTGACCACACCTGCAGGTGCCTCAGCCTCTCCTGCAGCTCCAGAACCTCCAACAGAAGGTCCAGGGACAAGATCCCACTGAAGTTCTTGGGCCCCAGCAGCAGGGAGTCATACATGTAGCTGGACCGGTTCAGAGCTGTCAGGAAAACCTGATTGGTTCGAAAAAAGAGGCCAAAATTTTCGTCGTGGAAAGCCTTCTCCTTCCGGGCTTGGCTTTTGGGAGCTGACCACAGATCCACAGGGTCAGTGACAAGTTTTAGGTACATCATGCCTGTCGCCAAGACTAACACTACCACGGTGGACACAGCCAGGATGGTCAGTGGCCATGAGGCTACTGTTGTGCCCCATTTCTGGAAGAACTGGCCAAGGACATTATGGAGAGAGAATCTGTGCTTGTGAGTGCTACCTGGAGTTACATGGGGTCCTCCCATCTTGCCTTTGGCCCTGTCGGAAACCACACGGAAGCGCACCAGGATAGCAGTGAGCAACACAAAGACAGAACAGAAGATGATGATGAGGGCCAGCCAGCCTGGCATCCGCCCCATGTAGAAGGAAGGGCGCAGGTCTGGAGGCCGGGAAATCACCGGGCAAGATGCTGCACAGTCCTGGCAGGAGCAGGCTGCCATGTCTTGGCCCTGAGACTCATTGCAGGCTGTAATCTCCCCATTCAGTGGCTGGATCCCACTTGCCAGGGCCTGACCGGGTTCCCAGAGGTGGAAGGTGATATCCAGTGGAGCCAAACCATTCCCTGTGTCTCCTTGGAAGTCAAGCCAGCGCTGCGCATTGCAGAGGGCTGAACCATACACACCACACATACTGCCCACGGCCAGTGTAGCAGCAGCCGGGATGCGTACCCGACTGCAAGATTCATAGGCCTTCTCTGCAAAACTACGCTGGTAGAAGGCCTCGTAGGCCACCACAGCAGGGGTCTCATTAGCCGCCTGTGAGGCCACACGGGTGACGTTGATGAAGACACTCTGGTTGGGGCTGCAGGTATTGTGGCAGTGCAGGCTCACAAAGTTGTCTGAGCAAGCCGGGCAGCGGGTGAGGAGAGCCTTGGTGATGGACATGCTTCTCTCCAGGGATATCAGCTGTTGCATGGAGCAGCAGGCATAGGTGTGTTCAGAGCCATTGTAGAGACGAGGACAGATGCGCTGGAGGAGAGCCAGGTGGTTGCCTGTGACATGGCGGGCAGGTGTGTTGGATAGGCAGGACACGTTGGACAGTGATGTGAGTCCTCCAGACAGCTCTGGATTCTTCCCACACTCCTCATAGAAAGTGCAGTAGCCAGGCTTATGGATGGGTGTGTGCAACTCCCCCTGGGCCTGAAGAACAAAGACAATGTCACATATGGGTCCCAGGCTTTGTGTATGACACACATGGTGTGTATGGTTGCCACAGCAAACACTCTGTGTCTGGGGCCAGAGGGAATGTGGGGGAAGGCAGGGCCCACAACAGTGGGACTAGGAGAGCTGCAGGGAGCCTCTTGGGGTGTAGTCTTTATTCCTGAGAATAATGGAGTCACTCCAAGACCCTTTCTGTTGGGACTGACCCATAAACTACAAATTAGGAAGAGCTGAGGGGCTAGTAAGATGGCAGAGGTGCCCAACTGCTGCCACCCAAGCTGCATGCGAAAACTCTAGGCAGTGCAAGAGCTCCCTGACTGGCTCTGCTTAGGGCCAGACACCATCAACCATTTATAGGTGAGAGCAAGGACGCTCATGGGCTAAAGCCAGGACCTCCTCTCAGGCCCCCCCTCCCCTGAAGATCCAGGTGATGGTCATGTGAGTCCCCAACCCCTAACCACAGGCCAGTGCCTCCTCTCAACTCTCCTGGGGCTCCGCTTCTAGGACAATGCCTGTCTCCGCATACAGCAGCTGCTGCCACACAGCAGCCCCTAACTGGTACCCAACTGGCCCTTCCTCATGGGAGTCATTGGTGAATGGCCTCAAGCATTGGACTTACCAAAGGCTGAAGTAGGAGCAGGGCGCAGAACAACCAGACAGCCGCCATTCCAGGATCAGAGACGGCCAGGCTGTGCTGAAGACAAGGTGATGAACAATAAGGCAGCCTCCTCTCCCAGTGACAGCCCTGGTCTGTGGCTAGAACCAATGAGGCTGAACCCTGCTGGTTAATGATCTACCTGCTCTCCTCCCTCTCATTGACAACATTACATGCCCCCTCCCAAACAAGCTTCCTGGGGAAGATGTAGGGTCCCTGCTCACTCCCCAGGGCACCTGAAGCCTGACCAGGGCCAGGGCAGCTGAGGAGTAGCTGGTGATTCGTGCCTACCCCCACTCAATCCCTGCTACAGGGGGCTCCAGGGCCAGAGGCAGAGGTGGGACCAAGCACTGGCCAAGCCCTGCCCTGGAGGCTTCATGTAGCCCCGGAGACATCTATACCACCCCCAGCTCCACCTAAGACCCCCCCACACACACACTTTAGCCAACCACCTCTTAGGACCAGGGCCAACCATGGACTCAGACATAACCTCTGTACTGTAGTCCTTAGCAACTGTTGTAAATTAATATTAACAGCCTGATAAGAAGGGACAGTTAGGGTGGAATGACAGTGACAAAAGTCCCCTCTGGGAAGGAAATGAAGGAACAGCCCACTCCAGACTTCTTTGCTCATCTTGCTCTCCCCAACCCCTCCTCTCTTATCTCCTTGTCTCATTGGCCAGCCCTAACTGGGAGCCCTGCGTGGTGGCCCTGTACCACCTGGGCCTTGTCCAGGGCACACACCTCTTGATCACTCCTGATAGTAACCTTTAAGGCCTCCATTGGGTTCCTGCTATCAACAGATGGGCCAGGACCTTGGCCTTTATTGCCAAGACTGAGCTACTGATAATGCAGAAGGCCACTCATGTGGCCTATGGGTGGCCTGAGACAGCTTCAGTCACCCAGCCTGGCTGTCTCCTGTGCTGCATAGGCCTTGGCTGCACTTAGGAGACATCCAGGCTTGGGCACGGGCCAACAGAGGCTGAGGGAAAGTGCCCAAGGTCTCCTCTTGTGCAAAGATAGCCCCTGTCCACCAATTTTCATCTCTTTTTGCTCCCGGATAGCACTATGATCTCTTTCTGTCCCAGTCTGAGGTGATATCATCCAGTCCCCCAAAAGAGCAGACCTCAAGACTAAAATCTCAGTGCAAATTGTTTATCTGTGATAGTAACAGAGTGGTAAGGAATCAGGGGACAGGGGCTGAGAATGTGGCTTAGTGATAGAGTGCTTGCCTAGCATGCATGAAGCCCTAGGTTTGATTTCTCAGTACCCTTTTTTTTTTTGGGGGGGGGGGGTCTGGTCATGGGGCCTGAACTCTGGGCCTGGGCACTGTCCCTCAGCTCTTCAGCTCAAGGTTAATCCCCAACCACTTGAGCCACAGCACCGTTTCTGGCTTTTTCTTTCTTTCTTTCTTTCTTTTTTTCTGGCTTTTTCTACTTATGTGGTGGTGAGGAATCGAACCCAGGACCTCATGCAGGTAAGGTAAGCACTCTACCACTGAGCCACCTTCCCAGCCCAAGGTAGTTTATTCTTTTAGCAAGTTACGTTTTGTTGTTGGTGGTGGTGGTCTTGGGGCTTGAACTCAAGGCCTGTGTGCTGTCCCTCAGCTCTTCAGCTCAAGGCAAGCATTCTATCACTTGGGCCACAATGCCACTTTCAGTTTTCTGAGTGGTTTATTGGAGGTAAGAATCTCATGGCCTTTCCTAACCAGGCTGGCTTTGAACCATGATCCTCAGATCTCAGCCTCTTGAGTAACTAAGATTACAGGCATGAACCACTGGCACCTGGCAGAAGTTACCATTATAAGGCAATATTTAAATATGATACAGTAAACTATATCTTATCCAGAAAATAAAACTTTCTTCTTAAATCATATTGCTGAATTACATTTATTTTTACTGTTAGGCTTTAATTATATACCTAAAAAGACACTCCTAATTCAAAAGACTTCAAATATAGAAATTTAGAAATCAGATCATAGTCATTTGACCAAAGTAAAAGCAAAATATATTTCAGCATCCTCTGTTGATACTTTGAAGTCCCAAGCTTTATGAATAAAGTTAAAATGCTGGTTATTCTAAAGGTTTCACTTATTACATTTTTTGTTTATCATGATGTGCTTGACTTTTAAACCCTCTCCATTGCCTTATATCTCCAAACAGATCCTAGATAAGGAACCACAGCATGACAAGCCTACTCTGTCAGTTAAAGACAGTTGGCTAGCTTCCAATATTTTACCATCACCTGGTGCCAGTGGCTCATATCTGTAATCCTAGCTTCTCAGAAGGCTGAGATCTGAAAATTATGGTTCAAAGTCAGCCCGATATTTCACCATTATAAATAAGTTTCTGGTTATCCTCTTTGTGCCTACTGATGTTTCCTTCTTTGAGGGCTTATTTTCTTAGAATAAGTTCCCAGTATGAGCGTTATGAGTCAGAACATGTTTATAATCTTAAGTGCATAGCGCATCATTTTTTCCTCAGATTAATCTGGGATTATCTGACTATTATCAAATTGTGTTAAAGATTAAGGGTCAATCCCAACCCTTGGATGACAGACTTAAAATGACTTCCCAAGGGCTCCTCCCACTAATGCCAGCCAGCCAGCATCTCACTGTACCCTCATCTCATCACTCCTACATTAGTCAAACTTTACAAACTTAATAACTGCAAAATGAGAAAACATTTTTTTCCTTTCTTTGCATGCTGAGAAATGAACCCAGAGCCTTTAGTATGCCAAGCATAGGCTATACTAGTGACCTACGTCTCCCAGCCCTTAACCTCTCTCTTTCTCTCTGTCTCTCTGTCTCTCTGTCTCTGTCTCTGTCTCTCTCTCTCTCTCTCTCTCTCTCTCTACTGGTAACAAATTTTGGACTCAGAACCTTGAACTCATTCAACTGGAAGTGGCACTGTGGCTCAAGCGGTAGAGCGCTAGCCTTGAGCTGAAGAGCTGAGGGACAGCACCCATGCCGAGTTCAGCCCCCACATCCGACAAGAAAAAAAAAGAAAAAAAAGAAGTCAGGTGCAATCTGAAGGCTAAGCTCTGGAAATCACAGTTTGAAACCAATCCAGACAGACAAATCCCTATGTCTCTTATCCAATTAACCAGCAAGAAAAAATGTAAGTGGAGCTATCGCTCAAGTGGTAGAGTACCAACTTTGAGCAAAAAAGCTAATGGACAGCTAATGCCCAGGCCCTAAGTCCAAGCTCCAGTACCAGCACACAAGATGGAAAGAAAGAGAGGGGGGAGAGGGAGTAAAAGAGAGAAGGAAGAGAGAGGAGGGAGAAGGAAAAGGCAAAGGAGAAGAAGCTGAGAGCTGGAGAATTGAGTTTGAAGCCAGCATGGTTCAACAAATCCACAAGACTCCATCTTTAAAATAAATAGCAAAACCTAGGCTGAAACCAGGTACTGGTAGCTCACACCTATAACCCCACCTCCACCCCCACTACTCAAGAGGCTGAGATCTGAGAACCCTAATTCAAAACTAGTCCCAGAAGACAAATCCAAGAGACTCTTATCCCCAAATAATCAGCAATAAGCCGGGAGTGGAAGCATGGCTCAAATGAGAGTGCCAGCCCTGAACAAGAAAGTCAAGCAAGCACAAGTTCAAGCCTTGAAAAGCAAGCAAGACAGAGACAGAGACAGAGACAGGGGAGGGAGAGAGAGAGAGAGAGAGCACTGCAAATGTGGCTTAGTGGCCTAGCACTCTTGCATGAAGCCCTGGGTTCTATTAGTCAGTACCACATTCACAGAAAAAGCCGGAAGTGGCACTGTGGCTCAAGTGGTAGAGTGCTAGCCTTGACCCAAAGAAGCTCAGGGACAGTGCCCAAGCCCTGAGGTCAAGCCCCAGGACTGGCAACAAAAAACAGAGAGGGCTGGGAAGGTGGCTCAGTGGTAGAGCACTTGCCTTGCATGCATGAGGCCTTGGGTTCGATTCTCCAGCACCACATAAGCAAAAAGAAAAAAAAAGCCGGAAGTGGCTCTGTGGCTCAAGTGGTAGAGTGCTAGCCTTGAGCTGAAGAGCTGAGGGACAGCGCCCAGGCCCAGAGTTCAGGCCCCACGATTGGACCAAAACAAACAAACAAACAAAAAAAACAGAGAGAGAGAGAGAGAGAGAGAGAAGAAATACACTCATTACCTTACTCATATAAGTGTAATCCCCTCACAATAAAATAAAAAAATTTTAACTGAGCAGGGCGCCGGTGGCTCACGCCTGTAATCCTAGCTACTCAGGAAGCTGAGATCTGAGGATCGCAGTTCAAAGCCAGCCCGGGCAGGAAAGTCCATGAGACTCTTATCTCCAATAAAAACCACTAGAAAACGGGAAGTGGGGGCTGGGAAGGTGGCTCAGCAGTAGAGTGCTTGCCTTGCATGCATGAGGCCCTGGGTTCGATTCCTCAGCACCACATAAGCAAAAAGAAAAAAGCCAGAAGTGGCGCTGTGGCTCAAGTGGGAGAGCGCTAGCCTTGAGCTGAAATGCCGAGGGACAGCGCCCAGGCCCAGAGTTCAGGCCCCACGACCGGACCCAAAAACAAACAAACAAAAAAAAGAAAACGGGAAGTGGTGCTGTGGCTCAAGCGGTAGAGCACTGGCTTTGAGCTGAAGAGCGCAAGGACAGCTCCCAGGCCCCATAAACGACCAAAAACAAAAAAAATTGTTTTTAACTGAATAATGAGAGTTTGGGGGCCGGGAAGGTGGCTCAGTGGTAAAGTGCTTGCCTTGCATGCATGAGTCTCTGGGTTCGATTCCTCAGCACCATATAAGCAGAAAAAGCTAGAAGTGGTGCTGAGGCTCAAGTGGTAGAGCACTAGTCTACAGTTGAAGAGCTGAGGGACAGTGCCCAGGCCCAGAGTTCAGGCCCCATGACCGACAAAAAAAAAAAAAGAAAAAGGAAAAGAGAGTTTTTACTTGGAGAGAAATTTTAGTAAACTAATCTTAAAGTTACATAGAAGGCTTTAGAATGGCAGGCACAAATATGAAAAAGATAAAAGGAATTATGAGAGACTTGTCTTC